TATATATATATATATATATATATATACACACATAAACGTTTGGTTTTGGTAGTGTTCCGTGTGTGAGGAACTGTACAAAAAACTGTAGAAAGTGTACATAAATAAACGTTGTATAGTGAAACAGTGTGTTGAAAGGAAACAGGTATAAAACTACTGTGAGTGCTGACATCTCAAGTTGTGTTAATATTCCACCAAGCTTGCAGCTTGATGAAGGTCATGTGAAGCTACTGCCATTGATATAATTTCCCTTGAAGTGAAACGTGTAATTACCAGACATTCTGGACCATTACATGACGGCATACATTATTTTACGTCTTTGCGTGATTATTAAGACATGTAAAGTGTTTTTTTATTAAATCCCAATATAAGCGAAGTTGTAAGATCACTGATTGAAGTGACATAACTGATAAGAGTCGCAATTATTAACAGAAATCTACTTTTTGAAACGTTTCTTTCAGTATTCAGTTCATTTAGTTCAACTGTGAATCGTGCCGTGACGTTCATTGACACCAGTTCTTTTGTTATTTCCCTTGTTTACTAAGGTGAGTTGCTGTAGAGCAGGAAGAACAGCTCAAGTGAACCATCTTTCGGTCAGGGGAAGCTGACAGCGTGACGACGTCTAACTTAAATGACAAGCCTAGTTGAAATACCCGTCGATTTGAAGGACAGAAGATTATACCAGTGGGACTTTGAAAGAGACAATGATGACGATTCCGACTCTTTAAGCCCAGTAACATATGTTAGTGGACAAGCTTTCCTTAGACCACCTGATATCATTCATAATTCGTCTTGGACATTAAGCATGGATGAAAACGATGACCAAGGGTCTCCAGATACTAGTCTGGATATGGGAAACCTGCAGTTTCTATTGGAGTGCTTTGTACTTTCATTTGGACCCGAGTTTCCACAGCTAGGTAGGAATCATCCTAGCTCAAACCCAGAGCGTTTTGAAACTTCCTTTGGCGAGATGGAATCTGAGATATCCAGTTCTAGCAGTCAATCTTCTCAAAGATCTGTACAGTTGGATCCTGTCTTTTTCAGACGCCCTAGTGTCTTTGCCCCTCGCCATAGACGACATGGTCGGATGTTAAACGATAACGACCTCATTATTAACGCACTTGTGCCGTTGGGCGACCATGTTTTATGGAGAGAGTTATCAGAAATGCGAGTGCTTATTGAAAGAATCTTGGAAACTCGTGGAGAGCGAAATAATGATCATGAAATTTTGGACATTCTTGAATTTTTAGAAAACCATTCCTCACACAGCGATCCTCCTCCCCATTTCCCGGTAGGAGAATTAGACTGCGAGGAGTGCGGAATCTGCCTAGATGTTCACTGGTTGTACCGCCGGCCCTGCTGTAATTATCCAGCATGCAACAGTTGTCTTCATCAGTATTTCACAACTAAGGTAGAGGAGGGTTTGGTCAAGATAGAATGCTGTAACAACATGTGTGATAGCTTTGTTCATCGAGATGAAATTTCTGCCCGCTTGACCACACCAACCAAAGAGATTTTTTACAAGCTTTTAGTTCGGGCCAATGAAGATGACCGTACGAAAACCTGCCCACGTTGTAACCACGTGACAAAAATTAATTTTGATGAGCAGCGGAAATCTTGGGCCAACTTACGGTAAGATTAGTATAATGAGATTTGTTACGTATTAGAATTTCAAATATCCTGAAACCGAGCTAAATGATACTTTAAATTTAGTGGTTAAATTGTACTTTGGATTTAACAGTTAAGTAAAGTCAATATATAGTCAGTTTATGATATTTGCCAAAAAGATTGATACACAGTTTTCTTTTTTAACACAAATACGTTTTAATATACACACACAACAACACAATTTACAATAATAGTTATTAAAAACAATGATTTATAAACAAAAGCTTCACAAACTTACAAGCAATATAAAGTCTTCTTTCTAGTCTGGAATTTCTTTATCTTATCAAGGATTCACGATGAGCAAGTTAATTACGAGTTGACACAGGTATAATTCACTTAACAGGGAGCTAGCTAGCTAGTTTTGTCCTTCGTTATTCACCAGCCACACACCCCAAGTTTTCCCCAATGAATTTATATAATCTTTTTGTAAAAATACTAATGTCCGATGAGAATCCACTGAAGTTAAATCATTTGTAATGTTCGAACTTTGTAAAGGTTTCTGGTCAAATATCTGAAGTTTTCCGATTGATAAGCATTATAAAAATCACAGTTATAGCTTCCGAAGTTTATAGCACACAGAGTATAACCTACTAATAATAGATACTCTCTTTTTGGTGTGGCGTGTTGGTTATATTTATAGGCATGTGGAGGCTTTCTCGAAATTTCAGTTTTACGTAACAATACTGACACTAACACAAGCGTTTACGTACACAGATATATTTTGATTCTTACTCTCGAGAATCTTCTACAACTTTGGAGAATAGACAGGAGTATCGCAATACATATTTAACACAATAAGCTATGCATATTTCTAAATATAAATCTAAACAAACGTTGATATTAAAATAAATATATAATAATAAATTTGTTACAGATTTTATTCAAAACTTTGTGCTTAATCGTGTAACTCACATATTACAGGTTACTTTTTAGTGTATTTATGATTTACATCTTTCAAGATGTGTGTGAGTTACATGACGTTTTTACAGTGTCGGATTTAGAGGGGGTACAACTGATGCAACTGCATGGGGATCTTGAGTCTCAAAGAAGGGGTCCTCCGGCATCACAGTATTGCCTGGAGATTTCAGAGGGTCTAAATCTGGCTTTGCATTTTTTAAAACTCTTCAATAAATCACTAGAATCAGGGCAGAATAATGACGGTTTTTACGAGTGCTACAAGAATGTAAGCCTATTGTGTGCATATGATGTAATCTTATAGGCTTGATACTCCTGCCATCATCTTTAATAGATCCAGTTTCGTACATCCAGTGTATATTTGTTTTAAATTTAAATGTTCATAAATATCAGTAATGTTTCAGTTTGCCAGTAATAATGTTGTTATATTGACTGTAAAATAGAATGTTTGACAATTTTTTTTTTTTTTTTATTAATTTTGGTATGTGTTGTTGTTTTTATCTGTTGTGTTATAAGTGGTTTTCTTTCGGAGCCTTAACAATGTGTTACCGGTATTCTTGAGAGAATATCATCAACCCAATTAATTATTGAAAATCCAACAGTTAAAAATTGAAATCAATTTATTATGTTTGGTATTTAATGTTTTATGTTTGAGTTTAGCGTTGTGTATTTGATGTGTTTATAGTTTTCGGAGGCCGGTTTCTCTTGATTTGAAAGCAAGTAATGAAGTTACTTCACGATTAAAAGGACTAAAAAATAAAATGAAAATAACACATACGTTCACAATTAAAAATTTTCTTCACTTCTATTGTGCTAGAAGTGTTCTCAAATATATGGCAGTATACAAATATGTAAAATAATTTAACATTCACTGTCTAGTTTTTCTTTGTAAATATAATTGCATCATGTAACCATAACACCTCCTAGGAAACAGTACTGCAGTCATTTGGCAGGATCTATCGCAATCTATAGTAAAAATGGATATAAATTAAAAGTATGTCCGCTTAGCAACAGTTTGTTAGATGATGTTTTAGTTTGACTTTGTTATTCTACTTTGCTCACATTAGCAACTTAGGCTTATCATTAATGTGAGGAATTTGTACAATATAAAACTTAAGTGTTAGAGATTTCTAATAAAAATATATTTAAAAATTAGAATCGGGAGTCATTTCTAAATCATTTCATCAGGGGTTGTTACTGAATTCCTAATGCTGAAAATATAAGTCATGGAAACAAACTAGCAGTCATCTGTTTTACTAATAGTAAAATCAATTTGGTTAATTTTTTCATCAGATAATTAAAAAAACTGGTGCAATTTGCAAAGTAGCACACACACACACACACACAAAATAACTAGTAAGCTATTTCAGCCCTAGTTGCAACTTGGAAGTGTAATCATATACATGAACAATTTGTTTACTTTGCATTAAAGAAAACAGTTTCCATAAAAATGTGTTTATGATGATAAATAAAAAAAACTATTCCCTATGGAATTAGAAAGTATCATGCACTAAACGGTAGTTAACTAGTAAATAGTACAGTCATTCCTCTTTAGTACAACAGATGTTCAATACTTTACTGCTGTAAGCTATATTTTCAATGTTTTAATTCAGATATGTGTTAGAGGGAGCTTTTCATTTGAATGATGTTGTGATCTAGAAATTTCAAGCAGTATGTAGAAATAGCAGTACATATAAATAGGAGAATGATTGGAGGAGTTAGTTAATAATGAGTATTAATTAGAGATTCACTTCAGTGTTAGCAGTGAGACTTATTACATCTGTTTAATTACTCAATTAATTAGTGAGGAAATTCTGAAAATAAGTTTATTTGTGAGATGGGTAAAGATTACTCATAGAACTTTTGTCGAAATATTTATGAAATTAGGCATAAAGTGAATATGGCTGTAGCAGACTTATTGGAGAAGTAAAATAATTCGTTATTATTACATGGACTGACTTGGTATTATTATTATTTACCAAAAAATACAAAATTTTTGAGCCTCACCACGTTGTACAGCCCATATCATCATTTATGGTCATGCTCTGTCTAAGAACATCTTGACAGTAGCCCAGCAGAATGGTTTCCACTGCAAAAGGCTCTATCAGAATGCTTTCATGTTCAAAGCACACACACCCTCCATGCTTGCCTCTCATAATCTACTGGTTTATAAAGATGATTGTTTCCCTGTGCCAGTTTCACCAGTCTGATCACACAGAAATCTATGGGTGTTGCCTTTGGAAAGCTTGCCTTTTTTTTTATCATATAAAATAGCATGAATACCCATTTCATTCTCCAGCTTCTTGAAGTATGTGACAGTTGAACAAGAGGTACGACTAAAAGCCTTATCTTTGTGAACCAATATCTTGTTGGTTTCATTTCCAGATGAATATCCTTCTTGATTATGTTGTGTACTATTGCCTGCAGCATGTAGGTGGCTTTTACCTTTATGATCATGGATTCTCATCTTTTACAAGATACCATACTTTGCTTAACATAGTTGGAGTACAGCTTGTTACAGGTCTATTCCTGGATGGTTATAGTGACCTAGATTGATTCATATTCCTTTGTTCGGGATATCTTCATCTTGGAAATTTTAAATCCCCAATTGAATACAACTTTAAGATCTGAGTGTATAAATATTTTGTGCTGGCAAGGGACCGTAAAAGTAGATAAATTTTTGGTTGAATCACACTACCTGTGAAACACTGATGTTAAAATTTTATTCCGATATATTTTTCCACTATGGCTTTATATCAGCTGTGGATATCACATGACTTGCAATTGTTTTAATATAACATATTCAACCTTCTGTAATTGCAGCTAGGATATTGTAAATTCAAAACTCAGTTTTTTTCTTTGCATTAATAAAGTTTCTATCAAAATATTATTATTCATAAATAAAAAAAAATAAAACATTGTATTCTCCATGTGATGAAAATAAAATCCAAATTGTTCTATTTAGATTCCAAAAAAGGAGATGTAGTTGCATTCAAAGGCAGTTTAATTTGCTGTGACATCTTCATATAAGTTTCCTGCCCAAAAGCATGAGTTGGCACTTTTATCCTTGTCAATCCATATAAAACTGGATGATTGCTTTTAACATTGGTTCTGCTAATCTTTGTCATTTATTTATTTACTTGATTTATAATGCTGAACAAGCATTCAGTCAAAGTGTTTAAAACTGGAAAAGAAAATGGCATTTTTATTAGCTTCAGAAAGTGTAGAGAGGATATATTGCCAGTACTCAATAGAAGTAACCATATCAGTGTTGTTGTCAGGAATCTCAACTAAACCTTGAGCTCTAACTTCTTCTTTGGTCTCACCAATTGGCACTCTAGGAGAGCAAGCTCTTTAGAAATGTTTATTTAGCTTCTTGTCTCTAAACTTTGAAGCATTCATATGGCCCATAATCTTGGCATGCTCAAAGATTGGATCGTAAAACTGGAACCTCTGTTTTATCTCACTTATTACTTCTTTGTGTAGTTCTCTGATGATTAAATATTAAAATGTCTAAGGTCTTCAAATATAAGTCACATGTAATATAATTGCTGTGCAGCCCATTGCTCAAGCACTATTTACACATTCATTCACTAACAACCATCTTGTCTAACCATAATCTTATGCTTTTTTGCAGTATGTAAATGACTGACATTTCTTTAAAAGCTCTTGCCATTCAGCATTAAAATAAAAATGATTATACACGTTTTTTTAGAAAATTGTCAAGACTGTTCTGGAGTTTTCTGCAGCCATTTGAAGCAGCTTAATACTTGATATGGCAACTACATTTACATTTACAACTACGATACAAATCCATGGAAAGTTTCTTTGATCATAGATGAAACTGAATGATTAATTCACTGTGGTTATTAAAAAAGGTTGTAGCTGTTAGCTTGTTCAGGCAATATATCATTAAAGTATAATGAAAGACCTTGTATGGTGAGATGAGTTACTTTCCGCTACCATATTTTGAGGTATCCACTATTGGTTTAGAGGTCATAGCTTTAATAAGACTTTCCAGTTTGTCTATAAGGCAATATAGAATATCATTTTATACAATGAACTCTAGGATCTGTGTTTCTGCTTGAAGCACCTTTTGATACTTTTGAACACCTGATAGAAATTCAACCTGCTTTTTCATTTTACTTTTCTTTCTAATATACTTCTCTGATTGAGGTGCTTATGTCTACGTGTATGTTTCTTAAGACCATTTTTTATATCCAAATGCAACAATGGTATTATAGAAAGCACAAAAGTTAATCTTTATTTTTTATAGTTTTAATTAGGTTTTAAAAACTACTTTTTTCCCACAATTTGTGTTAGACTGAATATACTTTGTTTTGTTTTTTCCATTTTTGTTTCTGTGCTTGTTTTGCAGCTGCACTAAATGACAATTCCAGAATCATTAGAATCTGTCTGGGTTAAAAATAGAAGTCATTAGTAAATATGAAACATTTAAATTCCTAAGGAAAACCAGATTAAAAATCTATTTTAATACTAGTTTACTCTATATTTACTGAATATTTTTACAGATATTTTTTTCAGTTCATTGGTGTAAATATTTCACAGATTTCTGTTACAAATGAGCTTAAGATATTATAAATACACACACACAAACAAACTTTTATTATTAAAGTTTGTAAACATATATAAAAAATCAAGGTCAGCTGTTATAGAAATGTGTGTGCTGCTCTAACCATGTTGCATCAATAAGCCCACTGGCTTATAACACTTAAGTATTGCACTTAATAATCAAACAAAACAGAACTAACCCTATTGTAATGAATGTGGATATCTCATGCCTTTGCTACTTTGTTAAACTTTTTATGTAATTTTTAATTCAATCAAGTAATCACAGACTTTTCACAGAAACCTTGCAAAGTTAAACTACTAGTTGTAAACTTTTATTTAAAACAACTAGTATACCGAATAACCTGTAATTTTAAGAACCTTTACTTCACTTTTATCAAAGTTCTCTGAACTCTCTGTACTTTATTAGGGTATAGCCAGGAAAATTTTAACTAACTTTAGAGCAACGCACTAGTTCTGCTTAATAACAAGAGATTCAGTCAAGTTCTGATTACAAAGTAATCTATGTCTATTAGTAACTGAGCCATGAGAGTGGAATAGAAACTGGACATAATGTCAAATATAAGGAAATAATCTATATTAATTTACAAACACAGTGTGTATACTTGCTTATGACACAGGACAGTTGTTTTTACTGGACCTTTTCAAGCTGAATCCATACTAGACTGACAAATTCCAGCATTCTGTAGTTCACAAGAGACATCATATTTACCTGGAGTGACTAGCGCAACTGTGGGACTAGTCATTCTCATTCAAACAGGGGTGAGGCTGTAACCTGAAAATATCACCTAACTACCACTGAAGGACACAACTATCAACATCTTTAACACAACATGCAGTATTGAAGCAATACCTCTCCCCTTGCCAGGACAAGTGTTATATACTGAAGATCAACAATAGAACAAAGGCAGCTAAAATGAAGTTAACAGCTTTATCATGTGTTAAACCTGCACATAAACAGAATAAATACTGTATCATCACAAGAAGATAAATGCATTGCCTATTCATATACCACTGCAATACTACTACTGATCTACTGTTACTTTGACTAATAATGCATTTATAAATACTTCTCACAATTATTACGAGTAAGTTCCAGTATAATCATTATAATGTTAACTTTAGAGTTATTCTTGTATTAAATTTCTGGATCTTTTGTTGGATTACAAGCACTACAGAAAACCTGTTTGTTTGTTTTTATGCAAAGCTGCACAATGGGTTATCTGCATTCTGGACTCAAACCCCAGATTTTGGCATTGTAAATTTGCAAATTTATCACCGACCCACTGGGGGACACCACACAAAGCTATACTTTCAACAATATGTTCACTTTCTTTGACATTAGCCATGTTTGAAAGGATATGATTAATGTTAAAGCAGATGTGCCCAAAAATACTATTAAGATGTATATATATATATTTTGTTAAACAAGACCGATGTCTGTAGGTTTACTTTCTTCTTAGAATTCTTCTCAAGAAGTTAATAAGCTTATCGACTTCTTGAGAAGAATTCTAAGAAGAAA